CATTTCTAGTTTTCTTTACTCATTTGATCTGAATGATAATGAAGAGTTATTAAGTAGATTACAACAAGGAAAACAACAAGGGAGGTTCGCTGAACTTCGCGGAATGAGTCATGGACTTTTCGGTCCAACTTATGGATTTGGACCTGATCTAATGATTTTCTTAGGAGAAACATGGAATTATGGCCGTTGCCGTAAAACAGAATCATACGAATATGGTTTGCTTGGAGGCGAGAATGAAAAGATTAGATTTGAATTTGATGAAATTGAAATATTTCAAATCATTAAATGATAGCAATTATATAGACCTATGAGAAATTTTTATCTGCAAACCTATTATAAAAAGTAAAATAGAAGTTAATTTTATGTATAGTATAGTATTATAAGTACTATTTGCTCATAAAGTTATTATTATTTTGTGATTTTAATTGATTAAAGACTTTGTTATGATATTATTAGTAAAGAAATAAAAAGTATAAATGAATTGCATAAATAATAAAATAATACTATCAAGTTTTTTTTATATTATATATATAATGATAAAGCATACAAATTGTATTAGATGACTTTTTTAATTAGATTTATATTTTGAAAGGAAATTATATTTAATTAATATGCATTTCATTTCAAAAACTTTTTTCATATATTGTATATTATTATAAGAGAAATCTTATTTTCTTTTATATTTTTGATTATAACTATTATTATCACTTTTAAGAAAATGATTAATGTCAAATATAGTTATATTATCATGAATTACAAGTTTTTAGGCAATATCAAAAGTTTCTAGCACTTGATATACTATTTTTATTTTAGTTATAGGCTTAAGACCATCAATAAAATATGTAACTTGATCTAGTTTTCCTATATTTTCTATTTATTTTATAATATTTCTGAATTTAATATTATATTTCTATATAGTTTCAGTTTGATAAAGTTAACAAAGTTAATAATAAAAATATCATTGATAATTTAATAATTAAAAATATTATAAATTTTAACAATAAAATTATTCTAATTAATAAAGATATTTTGTTTTCTAGTAATATATATTTTATTTAGATATTAATATTCTTGAATCTAGTTTTAGCATATAGAATTCTTGTTTGATTATTTATAATTTCTTAGATAACAAGTACTTTAGAGACTTGTAATATTCAGATATTAATATTTCACAAGATTCTTTTTTATAGATAAGAATTTTAAGTAAAATTCTTAATAAAGAAGAATTATTATTCTTATCTTATTAATTATTATTGTCATTATCATTATTATTATTATTATTACTAAGAGCAGTTATAAGTTACTACTATTATTAAATAAGACTAGAAAAACTAACAAGAAGTTATTAAAATAGAAAAATATATAAGAAAAAAGAGAATTAATAATAAGTATATATATATATTAAAGATATAATCTTAATTTGTAATAGTTAATCAGAGAATTATGATTAATTATGATAACTAATCAGAGAATTATAACTATGTTACAATATTATTTTTAATATATATATATATTTAATATTAGTCTTTTTTACTACTATTAAAATTATAATCTTCTTATTATATTAGAAAAATTTATATAAAAGATTTAAGATATAATAAAATAATTAAAATAATATTTACACAAAAAACTAATTCAAGAATAAACAAGATTATTATATTAATTATTATTAAAATTACAGAATAGAAATAATATTTTTAAATAATAATTTGATATTATATAAAATTAATAATAAAATAAATAGAAATTAATAATATATAATACTTATTTAGTAGTATCTTTAGAAGATATTAATAAATAAATAAAGAAATAAATAATTATAAATAAAAAATATAAAATAAATAATATATTAGTAGAATAAGAGAAGAAAAAAATTCTACTAAAAAATAAAATAACTCAAATATATTATATAACTTTCTTAATAAAATGAGATAATTTTTGTGATATAGTATTATATATAATATAGTATATGAAATAATAATAATCTGTAAATAAAATAAAATTTGTTATAAAACTTTTATAAAGAATAATTTTTTAAGATAAAAATAACTTAAAGAATCATATAATTTTTCTTAATAAAATCAGATAATTATAATATAATAAATTATATATAATATAATAAAATAATATAATTTAATTTATAAATTACTAGTATTAATTTTGTTATATTAATAAATTAATATAATATAAATAATATTAAATAATATAATCTGATTCAAAAAGATTAATATATTAAATAAATATTAATAGATTATTTTTTAAAAAAAATTTAATTCTATTTTATTTAATTAAGTTATTAAATATTGAAAAATTTATTTAAATATAAAAATTTTTATTATATATTTTTATAAAAAAAATTTTACTAATATAAACTTTTTAAATTATTATTTCTTAAATTTTATTATATAAAATTTGATTAAAATTAATATAAAAATTATATAAAATATAATTTAATTATTAAACTTTAAATCTTAATATTTTTATAACTACTAATTTAATTTTTATAAAATTTAAAATATTTATTTATCAAATCTAGAATATAATTTAAAGTTTTAATCTTATAAATTAATAATAATAATATTTAATATATCTTTTTTTTAAAAAAAAATAATTTTATTTTAGTTTTTTTTAATAAAATAATACTTTATCTATTATTAAATTAAAGTATAATAAAATAATTAAAATAGCATAAAAAGTTAATTAAAATTATTCTTTATTTTAATATAAAAAATTATAAAAATTAGTTAAATTTTAAATGATTTTTATTAAAAATAATTATTAATTTTATATTAATATATAGTAATAATCAAAATAAAATTTTCTCTTTATATTAAAATTTATAATTTTAATAAAAAATAATTTTTATTTTTATATTAAAATAAAGTTTATTAATTATAATTTATTATATATATTTTTTCAGATTTTTTAGATTTTTCTAAAAGAGTTACTCTAATTTAAAGTTAATACAAAAATTTTTATTAATTAAATTTCATTTTTAATTAGTAAAAATTTTTGTACTAACTTTAAATTAAAATAACTCTTTCAGAAAAAATCTAAAAAATCTGAAAAAAATATATAATAAATTATAATTAATAAATTTTATTTTAATATAAAAATAAAAATTTTTCTTATTAAAATTATAAATTTTAATATAGAGAGAAAATTTCAATTTTCATTATATTTTATTAATAAATTTAGTTTCTGAATCATTATTTTTGATTATCATATACTAATCTTTTTGAATTAAATTATATTAAATAATATTAAATAAAAATAAATAAAAAATATAAAAGAAATATTTAAAAGAAATTCTAATTAAAAATATTAATTATATAAAATTAGTTTATTAATATTTATAAATAAAATAAAATATGATATAAATAGTTTTAATTTATAAACTTATACTTTTACTATTTGAATAATATTTAAATTTAAGATAGAAATACAAAATAGAAAGAACTTATTTATAAAAAAAGAAATAGATATAAAATATAAATAAATTATTAATAATTAATAATCTAAAATATATATGATTGAACAGAATTAATTATCTTAATTTATACCTTTAAAAGTAACTAATTATAATTTAATAAGTTAATAATAAATATAATAATATAATAATTTTGATTGGATTATCTTTCTTTAGATCTCTTTTGATTTAGATCTTTATTTTGTGCTATCTGTATAACAAATTAGCTTTGTATTATATTTCTAAGAAGATCAATTTTACTCTGGATATATAAATGATCATTATGTATTTAATATATCTAGATTTAATATATTATTACTCAGATGTTAATCATATATATCACAATTATTAATTTAGATTATTAATATTTTTAATTAATTATTTTCTTTATAATTTTATTTATTTTTTC